CTGATTTCTTAACCCATATGATTATGTCATTTCTGCAAACCCAGAAATGATTTATGGCCATCTGTCTACGTGTGGCATCTGAAAGAGGTTTTGGTTTTTTGTCAATACTCCTTTGAAGATTTCTTGCCCCCCTTTGATTGGACTTCAAAAAAACGTATCAACCCCTTCCTGCCAAACGTTTTTTTTTCAAAAATATTAGGGTTAACTGATTAAAGCAAAATTAAATTTTCTAGGTACAGTACGTTTTTTTATTACAATATTACAAAAAAAAAGAGTATAACGTTGGCATGATCAATTATTGTTTACATAATCTAACCATTTGAGACAGTATATAGGATTTCAGGTTACCTGTCTTGATTCTTCACGATCCCTTCTCCAGGACCCCCTCCCTTCTGTTATTTTTCCCGATGAGAGATACCAGTGCGAATCCAGATGAAATGAGGAAGATGGTGATGGTGTAAGGGTTGCGCAATGACGTGCTGGTGATGCTGTAAGAATCGAGGATTAATCAGCCTGATGCTGTTGGTGGCGCGGCAACCAACTGGATGAGTCTGATTCGTCCTCTACAAAATTAACCCTCAAGATCTAAAAATTGACCCCACCAGGGAAATAAAAAAGTGTTAACGATGTTTATATATGGTAAAAAAAAATAATTCTTTTTAAATGTAAATAAATGTTGTTGATTAACGACATTAATTTCAAACCTATTTCCTAAAAAAGTGTTTGGTAAGGCAGTAAATGAGAAAGTAATCAGTGTATACATGCAGTAATATTGATGCATCGGCAATATTAAACAAAGAGCTGAGTCAAATTCTTCCAAACCTTTATTTAAACAAGCCGTACCTGTTAGCTGGATAAGCTGGGCGGAATCGCAACACTTGAGTTTCCGGAACCCTGATTTAATCCAAGTTCAATCAAAATTATGTCGGCATCGACCTTCCAGTATCTGTGATCAGCGTCAGATTGAGGCCCAGGGCCTTCAGTTAGAGAGTTGAGACTTCCAGAGCCTAAAATTTTTCTGTAACTGGGAGATATAAAAAATAATGCAATAACGCAGTGTCATTTAGACTTCCAAATTCGACCTTTTTTAGTGAGCTACGTTTACAATTATAATATAGATACAAACGCTTCCCTTGAACGAAAAGCCGGAGAAATCAAAGTTTCCATCCATTTGTGGAACTTTAATGTATTCCTGGACCTCCCTCGCATAATTCCACCCTTTGCCAGCATTTTTGTTACATTTTAGTAAGTTAATGAGAAGTAGCTTTCCTAAAGGCACCAATGTTATCAGTAATTCCCCAATGAATAAATGAACAATCATTGTTAGACATCACATACATTATAATCACATAATGTATTTATCCACAATATTCGAGA